AGATCTGGGTGGGAGGAGGCGATCTGCCAAATATTGAGGTCCCAAACTGTTTAGGGCTCCTTCTTGACATACTAATAATTTTTCCAAGATATTGTGAACTGACCAACAAAATTATGAGTTGTACTTCAATTCATAGTTATCAAACAGATCCTTAATATCTGCCATTAAAGAAATATGGAGTTCCAAATGGCATCTTCTTCATTTTTTGGGGAATAGAACAGCCTTCCCGTAAATGCTGGAATGAATGGTATAAAGCAAATATTACATGTGAGGTGCTATTCAATACCAATGCAGGTCTAAAACTTCTTTCAGGACTTTCAGGATTGTGTAGAAGTCATGCATTTGTACACTTTTTGAACCCTGCTCTTTGGATATGCCGTTATTGTTGCTTGATATAGTGTATCATTGTATTTTAGTTGTAATCAGAATCAATTGAGAAACCATGCCTAGCAGTTCCAGAAATACTGTACTGCTTTTTATAGATAAAAATAATTAAAATTTGTACATTTTTAAAAGTACAACTTTATTAACATTTGGTGGGATCTGCAGAATCTTGGTAAAGGTCCACACACAGCTCTTGATTCCTCATATGTTGTCCCACCTGAATTAGCATGTTACATGATTTGTAGCTTCCTAGCAGCATTGAAATCACCCTTGCTTGATCCAACAGCTTTGTCTGTGCATGTGTGGAATATATACTGTGATGTGTGTGATGCATATATAGCGTTACCTCAGTGTCAGGAATTGCTGTGAGTACCAAACAGTGTGAAAAGATAATATCTCTTTGTTAGTATCTGTTGATTTGCAGCCTCCACTGAAATGGAAGCTACTCATGAGAGAGTACCATACATCAGTACAGTAATAATCTGGGATCCTGAAGTTACAAACTGGATTTATTCCAGTCTCTTTCCCAGATTGTTTTATTTTGTTCCCTCCTTTACTCCCTCCTCTTTCACCTTTCAACACTTCTGATCCCAGTGTGCTTTTAAACCTAGACCCACAATGTACATTGCCATGTGGAACTGCATTGCTTTCCACAAAAGGATCCCATGCACAGTTAGGTTGTCATTTTTATTTTTACTTTTATTTTAAGCTGCTACTGCATACAAATGGTGGAAACAGAAATAGGAGGGACCTTATTACGCTTTGTGTTGTCCCATTTCCTTTTTCTCAGAAAGCGTACAGTTCTGATTAATGGACAATTTTCTGGCTTCCTTTCAGTGTCTGGCTTCAGAACATTTGCTATTTGATATCCGAGATACGTACAACATGTTCACAGTGAATTCTCCAACTGAAAACAGCAGAGTTCAAACCAAGTCAATTAATTCACAGAGTGAATGGATTCAAGCCCAGAATCTCATGCCTCGTCAAGGCCTCTTTGATGCGACTGCCAACAGATATCTGTTTATAAATGCAGTAAATGTAACTATTTGATACTTATAGCTCTTACAGTCTTATGTGATTCTGCCACACACACCCTTGTTATGGCTGATCTCTGATAATTGAGTTACATTTTGCAGACATTTCTAGCATTTCTCTCTCTCTCTCTCTCTCTCTCTGAAGTCTGCTCTCCCCCCACTCTCTCTGAAACTATAACTCAGCTAGTATCGTCAATGGTTTCGTATTTCCTCCCCCTTTATCCACTCTCGTTGCCGTGGATATTCTGCTGAAGTCAGGCATAATAAAGCCATATCCAATATCTGTGCACCCAGCCAGTCTCCTTCTTGAACCTGTTTTTGTTGCTTTGGAATCTGAGAGAGCTTGCCTTATCAGGGAAACCAGAACCATTTAGGCACACGACCTTGATGAAAACTACCAGAGTAAATGCTCACAAATGCTCATAGAGATATTCATTTACACAGCAGACATTTATTCAATTTATAGTCCACCGAAAAGTTGCCACCAAAATTCAGCCGCTTCTTTTATAGATGTTGTATTTTAAACAGGACAGTAATTCTTACAACCTTTTACTGGTAGCTGTTTTAAATCAAGTGTGTGTATGTGTGCATGCACGCGCATGTGTTGCTGTGGAGACGTAAGACCTGTTTAGATGTTCATGTTAGGGAATAATCACAATGTTTCTGTGGGAGTGCTTTAATCCCATCTGGGGTTAGTTGATGTCCTTAATCTTCCATAGGTGTAATTTATGCAACAGGATTTTGGCCACTAGCTAGAGAATCCTTGGACTCATGGTTCCAAAAAGTAACTTTTCCAAGTTCCAAATCCAATTGATTACAATTAACTCTTGTTAGGTTGGAATCTCAGCTGTAGAAGATAGCTGATAAGGCAGATAACACTCACTCATTGCTTGTGATTAAGTGATAAAGGATGTTTTATCTACACTAGCTCTTCTTAAGACTGCCTAATGGAAGCCATGGCTCATAAACAGGATGCAATCCCAGTCATGCTCTAGATTGTACCATGGTTACAGTGGAAGTCCCAAAATCCCCGTACCGAGTGAAAGAATTTGCTTTGAGGAAATAAAGCTTAATTACATTATCGTAAGGATGATTATACAGCTTTGAACTGCACTATTTCCTGTTTATAGTACTCATGGCCTTGATCTAAGCAACATTTGCTGTTTACAAATAATTACTTATTTTTATTTTTATTTTTTTTTCACAGTTAACTGGAGCATTTTAGCACAGCTGAATTGCTGTGAGCTTTAGTGGAACAAATCTATTAGCGGTATGGCTTGAAACAATACACAAAAGAGCCCTGTGTGTGGTCTGCTCAACATGGTTTTCACTTCCTTATGTTAAACAATAAATCTCTGAGTCAGCTAGAACTTGGGAGCTTAGCATCCACGGAGAGCTGCATTTTATCTTTTATTCATTGGCAGGAGCATAGCTGTAGGAGGTATTCAAATCACACTTTTATTTAAACAAACACAGCTGGATCACATCCTCTTAATATAGCAATTCTCTAATGAAAAATAACAACATAGTAGTTATCTCTTTTCTTTTGTGCAGCTCTCAATTTGTATAAATTAGGCATGCTTCAATCCTGTACAAAAATTGGCATGTTTTCATGACCAGCACTCATAGCCACTAACTGCAAAATTATAATGGTGGTGCAATTATAGCGAGGCATGTGAAATACACACCCTTTCGCTGTTGTACAAGGTTGTACAATTAAATTGTAATAACAACCTTTTCCGGAAGACGTCTTTGTCAGACAGCTCATTGCATTTATTTAACACTGAGTTCCCCATTTATATGCTACTATGGTTTAGCAATTAACAACATGCGTGAGGTAATCCAGTGCTACAAATCTGGAGTTCCCCTGGCCGAAAGACTTTAACACACAACATTTCCATGCTAGGGATAAGAAAAATCTGTCAGGTTCATTTCCATTGTGTTGCTCAGAACCCCATCAGTGCTCTCATTGCATCCAACCTCTGTGTCATCCTGCAAGTCTTCCCTTCTGACCTGCATGGAAATTATTATGTATTTTAGTAGTGCCATTTCATTTTTCTTGAGATATTTTTCCTCCGCACATTTTCCCCATTGACTAAAGCATTCTCATGTGCACTTCTCATTCGTACCAAATTTTATGTGTGCATATTTACATATATCTAAATTTGAAAAATGCCATATAGAATACTGTATGCGTAATTGAAGGGTTAGATCCAACAAGCTCACTCCAGGTCCTCCTGTCTTTAAACTAAGTTGGCTGGAGTCAAGTATGACAAAAGTACTTATGCTAGACTCAAACTAGACAAGAGAACAGTTTCATATATTATTCCTCCAATGAGGAATAGCTTTTAGTCTGTTCATTCAGACTAAGCAAATATAGGGCAAGACATCTAGGACCTGAAGTCTAAAACATCTGAAGAGCCAGAGCTTGATAATAACTGCTTTTTATAAAAGGAAAGCATCAGAGGATACTTACAGTGGTTTAGGTATCTGGCTGTGGAGCCAGAGGTTGGGAGTTCAATTCCCCACTGTGTCTCCTTGATAGGGGCTACACTCGATGATCCATATGGTCCCTTCCAGTCCTGCAGTTCTATGATTACGATGATTAGTATGGTTCTAGTTTCTGCTTAATTTCAAATTAACAAGTAGAGCTCACGGGAAGTGAAGAAACTTCTAAAATAAGATAGTAGAAATGGCCATGCCACTTGATTTCCGAAGAGGAATTGCACAAAATGATGCTTCATTTGTCAGAAATTCCAATTAAAAAGTTGTGAAAGAATTTGTGTCCAAATGCAAAGTTTGTCTCAGTCATTTCTGCCAGCTAAATGAATGGTGTCACTGTGGAAAGACTAGCCAGTGAGAGTTCAGGCAGCAAACATTAACAGTGTTGTTGTTTATATTCGCAAAGGCTTTCACAGCCAGGATCTAATGGTTGTTGTGGGTTTTTCGGGCTCTTTGGCCGTGTTCTGAAGGTTGTTCTTCCTAATGTTTTGCCAGTCTCTGTGGCTGGCATCTTCAGAGGACAGCACTGTCCTCTGAAGATGCCGGCCTCTGAAGATGATGGCCACAGAGACTGGTGAAACGTTAGGAAGAACAACCTTCAGAACATGGCCAAAGAGTCCGAAAAACCCACAACAACCAGTGTTGTTATTGTTTTCGTTTTGATGTTGGTTATCAATTAGGTGCTGATAGCAAAGCTTGAAAAGTTTCTTTTATGGATGTCAGCTAGGCCACTGGACATGCTGACTGGGGGATTTTGGGAGTCAAAGTTCACAGAAGTAACTTGTTCAAGCTCTGATCCGGGGGGAGATGCCCCATTCAGGAGAGCCAAACTCATAACAAACACTCATGAAAATGATGAAAATGATAACATGCCTCTTTTAAAACCTGCCCTGGTGAAGACACCTCGTTATGCAGAAACTGGATGAAAGTTGCCTACAATAATATATCATTTTAAATACCTAGTCATTTTTATTGGGTAAGTGTTGCCTTCTGAACATCTAGCCTTGGACTGTCACTTTTTCTGCAGTCTGCCATGTTTACTTCCATGGAGCAGCCATTTCTACTCTGCATTGCCTATAAAGAAGCATGGTGTCCAGAAATGGACAGAGATGGTTACAGCCACGACTGATTCTGGGAAGAGTCTGAACTTAGTAAACTGGTTAGAGAAGGCTGGCAGTCTCAGTCTGTCCCAGGCGCTCCCTGTTAAGAGACAGGAATGGCACCATGCGGAAGATATTTGGCAAAGAAGGCAACTCTTCCAGCAATTGTCCACCCACGACTAATGGCACAAAAACAAATAAAGTAACCTTGGCATTGACCTTGAGGAATGAAGCCCAGTCAAAATAATTTCCTTAATATGACAAGTAATAAGTCTGGGCACAGTGACAACTTGTAGATTTTTGTCCATCTTATTTGGAAACAACATTCATGTCTGCCAGTAGAGCCTGTCAGTAAGATCTGCGTCTAACATTACTGTGCTTCACTCCACCAGCATACAAACAAAGGGGAAATGATTCAACCACAGAGAGATACCCCCCAAAATTTCATGTTTACACATTCTTTTGGTTTAATTATTTCACAGTTTATTATGTTCTACAGCATACTAAAATTTGCTTCACAATTTTAGTTACTTTCAGATTTATCCTGCGAGGCACAATATTATGATTGTACAGCTAAGTACTAAAACTGAGAATTAAGGTCAATGCTCACACTTAAGAGAACAGGGCAGACATGGGACTTGAAATCCAGATCTCCATCATCCAAATTTAACTCTTTGATGGGCTTGATTAAGAGCTTTTGATGGACTTACTACTTTTGGAAGATTTATTTAAGAAATAACTATACAGCACTGCTGTATATCTTCTGTAAAGAGGAAAGACTCTATATGCATGAAGAGTAGCTGGAACTAAGAAATTTGCAAGGAACTGGAAAAAGCCTACAGCATGTGGGAAAATCAGGTCAGATATTATGGTTGGTCCAGAATAATATTATGAGTAGATGCACGCATATAAGAATGGGGATTGGGCCATTGTATAACTTATATTGTGCAATAACTGCTGGATAACTCAATTGTTTCGGTATCTGGCTGTGGAGCAAGAGGTTGGGAGTTTGATTCCCCACTGTGCTTCCTTGACAGAGGGTGGACTCAATTATACATTTGACCCCTCAGCTCTGCAGTTCTAAGATATAATCTACTTCATGGTGAAATCAAGATGCCCAGTGTGAGTTTGAGTTAAACCAATCAAAGTAAAATATATCATAGAAATTCATTTGTCATGTTACTTGCTAAGCATATATGTAGTTTTGTAGGTAGTTTAAAATTCTGAAAAAGGTAGATTGTCAGGAATCTTATGTGACACAATTCACAGACTGTCAGATGATGCAAGAAGTTACAGACAAAGTCAGTTAGTAACAGACAAAGTCATGTATAAACATACAGTAGGTGATGTCTGATTTACAGAGTTTGTAGGTACAGAAAAAAAACATATCTTTGGTTTTGTAGTTAGATATTTAGGAATAAATATTTACTAGATTTTAAAGCTAAATATTGGGAAATACAATTATTTAAAAATCGACAGACACTTGATATATAGGACGTCAGGATTTTTCTAAGGACTGCCCAAGTATAGATTACCATGAC